TAAATCATAGATAGTCTTAGAGGCAAGACTGGACCACAAGTACGAGTTACAGGTCAGGATATAATAAACCTCTCAGCTTTGCTGCATACAAGCTCTAGCTCACTAGATGCAGTTGATACACAGCACACACCTTAGTAAACCCACATAAAGCACAACATCATCTGCTTCAAGCAGAGAAGGAAGAAAAAGCACGTGACAGTATGCAGGAAATTGTAATTTATTTGGGTGAGAAACACCCAGTTGCAGGCAAAAGCTATCAACCCAAAAATATTCATCAATGCTGAAGCCTGTGCAAACGATATACTGACCAGTAAAACATACTGGTATTTCCCACAGGTCCACTCTGACATAACTAGCAACTGGCCACGTTCCCAGTGCGGATAAGGAGCTGTAGGTACAGGACATTTCTACCTTCTTCAAGTGCAGCACTGGTCTTAGTTTTCAGTTCAGACGCAGATGCCCTCTGAACAGGCTCTTTCTCCAGACCCATTTTAATAATCTCAGCAGTGAGAGGGTTGCAGGAAGGTGGAATTTCCCTCAAAGGAGGTGGCTCTTTAGCTATCTGTGTAATAAACAGGAAGCGAAAGAGGTTAGACCAGAGGCTTCATTTGATTTCAGAAAGGTTCTTCCCACCCTGAGAGCATTCCCAACTGAAATTACAGCATTAAATGAGACCTGAGCAAGTAATTTTATTAGAGCTGAATGACCAAAAAGTCACACCCAAGTCACGAGCACGATAGGAAAGCCACAGGCCCAGCCTGTGTAATACACGGCGGTCTAAGAGGCGTTAAGAAATGATCAGCTTCCAAAGCAAGGTTGGCATCATCCTAGATGCCTAGCTGGCCCTCCCCAGCCTTCCTGAAAGGACTGCTCCCTAGCTGGGTATAACGAGACTGCAGGCTTCCATACCTTTTACTGGAGACAGGCTGGGTCACTCACCTTCAGGCAGAGAGGGTGATTGTAATACTGGGTCCAAGGGTGGCACCCATTAAGCATGTGCAGCATCATACAGCAACTGCTCCAGACGTCCACTTTGGAGTCACAACGCTTTCCCATGACCACCTCCGGAGCCATATGAGTCTCTGTGCCAGGCACATAGTTCCCTAAAACCATTCAAATGAAAACTCACTGCATGTAAACTACAGAATTGTTCCAGTGCAACTGCTGGGAAGCCTAAGGCAGCCTCGTCGTCTTTTCAGTTCAAGTGAGAAACAAGTCACCTTTACCCAAAAAGAAGCATTCCTTATAAGCTGTTCAAAGGCTACATCTCCATATCAGTCTCATCCCTTACATGTAGCATAGGTATTAAGCTTCCCTTCCCAGCAAATCTGGGAGGCAAAACATTGGTGAGCTCGGCAGTATAAAACGCATCCTCCTCTTTCAACAGCTGCAGTAAGAAGCACTGTAAAGTTTAACTGCCCAAAAGCCAGTGAGGAATCTTGCTTTGCTGAAGGCCAGGATTCTTCCTCAGCTGTTATATGACAAGTCAGAGTTAGATTTTTAAGTTTCAACATTGCTTCTCGCAGGGACAAAACACCAAATGGAGTATCCTGATATAATCTTACGACAGCCTTCTGGAACAGGAGGTAAGGACTACCTTCCAACCTTCTGTTCATTTTAGCTGTCCACGGGATACATCATAGCAATACCAATAAATGCAACACTATGAGCAGTGCTAAGTCTGGAAAACACAGTTGCTTGCAAATTAGCCATATGTAAATATTCAAAAAGAAAGAATGAGTCAGTAGGGCAATTCTAAAGAATTGCAGCAGAAAATCCTTACCTGTGACCAAGCACTTTCCCAGGCCGTCCGGATGAAGGTGAGCAGAGTGGCCAAAGTCACACAGAAGAGCTCTGCTTCCATCATCAGACAAGAGCACATTTTCAGCTGCAAATGAGAAGTCTTTAATTACTCAGTCACCTTTGTATTACAGTCCCTGAGAT